CTTCTCTGAAGCAGGGAATAATAATCTTTTCAAAAGAATAGGCTAGGGACCAAAAACTTGCTGTTCATGAGAGCAGTCAGGTCTCATTGCTGTGGGGAGAAGAAACTGCCTAGGGACAAATGAAAATATTATCCAATTATTTCATTTAGACCTTTGAACCTTGAGATTCATAGCCTTTGGCCGATTCTTGGTCATTGATTCAGGAATTCTTCTGGGTCTCTCTTAAGAACAACTTATGTGTAAATATTTGTCAAAGAAAATTGTATATTACCTTCAAATCAGAAGCACTGCAGTAATGAAATGGTAAAACAAAGTATGACATAGTCACACGTGTACTACTAACCAATTACTAAAATTTATATTTGCGGAGAATTTGTTATTACATGGGTAAATACTTGTGTTATAATGAAAAAAAGTCAGGACATATAATTGTGCATTTGGCTTACTCCCAGCTAATTAGAGGACATTTGAGTTTGCAGCATGCTTAAAAAAAAAAAAACTGGAAAGAAATATAATAAAAATGGCAACTGTGATTCCTCTGAGATTGAATTTGTGGATTATCATTCCCTCTTATTTTATGTACTGCTCCATTTGCTTTTTAGAGACCATCTACGGGAGTTAAGGCCCAAGTGAAGCTTAGAGTAGACAGATGTTTGTGGTTTTGGTCTGCACAGATCTGTGACTTTCCTTGGCAGCAGAGCTGCGGATAGAGTAGAAGGCTGTGGGGTTGGGGTTAAACAGGAAGATACAATAGGAGGACTGAGAGATGAAAACACTAGGGGTTCCTGTAAGAGAGCAACTGGGGTGATGCCATGAGGATCAGGGCTATGACTGGAGGTGGCAGGGGCGGGCAGCGGAGAAGGATGTCTCTGGAGAGGAGAGCAGTCAAAGAGTAGAATTTTGGGAAATAAGGAACAAGAGCAGAACGACAAACCCCTGCAGACTCAAATATTCGTGGGAGAGCAATTCAAGGTTAGGACAGGTCAAGGTAGTAATTCACTAATCAATAAATATTTATCTAACAGCTACTAAGTACTAGTACTGCACTAGGTGCTAGAAATTCAACAGTAATGCTCAAAACAGATACAGGCTCATGGAGTTTTACTCTGATGTGGGGATTCAGTGTGAAACTGGAGATTGACCATTATAAAGTGTGTTATAGATTCTAAGGAAAAGAATAGGGGTGAGTGGGAACTAGGGGTCAGAAGAAAAGACCACGTGAAATTTAAGCTAAATGAAGGATGACAAGAGTTAGCCATCTGAAAGGTGGGGGTAAGTTGAAAGGCTGGGGCACAGATTTCCAGGGGAAGGGGCTGCTCTGGCCAACGCACCAAGGCAGGAAAGAGGCTGGGTGTTCAGGAAGTGGGAGAAGGCCACCTTGGCTAGAGTGGAGTGAGCTGATAGTGGTACTGAAGGAAGCCCAAGAGATGGACAGGGAATAGGTCAGGCCCTGTTAGGGGGGTTGCATTTTATCTTAACTGCATGGAAGCCAGAGAAAGATTTTGAAAGTGGGAAGTGACATATCATTCATTTCACTGGAGGAGGATAGAAAAGATAGAAAAGACAGGTTGGGATCGGGATTCTGCTAGATAGCCAGCCCATGGAGAGAGGTCCTCAGGAGTAAGGTTCTTTTGGCCTTTGGTAGTGAGAAAACTCAATTCTATCTCTGCAACTAAGGCCCATGTGAACAACAGGCCCTGATGACATGAGAAGAATAACATCCTATTCTAGCCAGTTCCTATATGGCCCTTAGCTTCATCCCTCTATCCAGGTAGGGGTGCCTGTATCGGTGGAGTCTGATTTTCTGACCCAAGGGAAGACAGGCAGATTGAGTATCTTATGAAGACCCAGAAACAGAATCTTTGGATAAAGAGCAAAATCTGATCTCTCAGATACCACAGTGGTTAGAAGCCTGTTGCCTTTGGCATAATTCTTTTCACCCCAATAATGGTAGACTTCTGGTTTAACTAAATTAAAACTGAGAAGGCTGCAAACTGATTTCTGGTTAAGTTTTATTATTGATGATGATGATGATTTGTTGGGAATAAGTGAGTGAAGAAGTGAATAGAAATATTTTAAAATGCGAACATCAAAAGTCTATATACGCTGACTTTCTAATATTCCAAAAGATATCTCTTACTAATTGGGGGAAGAACTGAGTCAGCTTTCTTTTCTAAACTGAAAAGGAGTTTCAGTTTGCAGACGTAGATGACATTTTCAGAAAGGTAGCCTGTTCAGTATGGATAACACAGATTTTGGGTTCAAATCCAGACTCTGCTATCTACTTTCTGCCTGATCATGGGCATATAATTTGCCCCTCTTCATATTTACACTCCTTACCCACAAGATATAGATAATAGCAGTACTTCATCTATAAAACGGGGGTAATGGTAGGTCTTAGGTCAGGATTACGCTGGGGACTGAAGTGGCTTAGAACAGTGCCTGGCATTTAATGAAAATGTCAGGGGCAGCATACACAGAAATTGTGTTATCTTTTTTCTTTGGCCTTATCAGTAAGGTTCTCCTTTCCTGGAAGGGGGTGTTAAGATAGAGCTGAGAAGAGTATTTTGGTGTCCTAGGCAACAGCCAACCCCTTGTTCTTAGCTTTATGGTTGTCTGCGGAAGATTCAAGAAACTCTGTGGGGGTTATGCTTCTCTGGAATCTTTGACAAACCCTTCCTTGAGGGTTTTCGCCTTTTGTCAATCCAGCTTCAAAATTTGCCCAAGAGGCACTAGAGAGGGAGAGGATGTCCTTAAAGACAAATGGCAAGGCCAGGGAACCAGAGATTTTGGCAGGAACATAGAAGCCACTGGGAATGAGGGAGGGCTAGTCTTTTTAAAACATTTTTAAAGCATGAAGCTTACCCTCCAGGATCCAGATAATTTCCCATGTTCCTAATCTATTCACAAAGTTCCTACCACTTTCTATTTTGGGTGTTGACACCATGTTCTTTCTCACCATTAGCTTTAGATAATCACCAAGGGCTTTGGTTTTTGTCCTCTCAAAACCTCTGGGGACTTCAAAAGCCACCCACACAATAACACAATTAAAGGTGGAGACTTAAGTCATTCTGGCAGCAAATTAAATTCTTAGGTAGAATGGTGCTTTATGGAGTCAACATTTAGGAGTGACATCAGTAGCAGCAGCTACAACAACAAAAAAGATGTGATTTTTGAATAGCAAGGAGCAGAGGTACATGTTGGGAGAAAAGAAAAAGGTGTGTTGTCTTGATTGTCTTTCATTTTAGTTTGTGGGAGGATTTTGAAGAAAACAAACACACCTAATGTAGTCATTGTCTCTGATTGTCATGAGTCACCTGTCCATCCTGAATACAGGATATTGACCTGGAGCAGGGGATCCTGCAGACAGTCCCAATGCATTTTGGCTCCTTTCATACAGGGAATTTGAAGCACATAACCCTCAAAAAGGGCCTTTAATCAAAGAGCTTATGCCAAAGGGATTATGTCAAAAAAATGTTGAAAGGAACTTATTTTACGTGCTCAAGTAAATGGAATCTGTCTCTAGCCTCTTTTCCCTGCCTTAGATTTTTCTGTTGGGTTTTGATTCATTTTAAAATCAGAGGTTGAAGAGAGCCCCTTCTAGGGTTCTGCAGGTGGCTGAACAAACATGAATTCCGGTCCTCAATGTCGCATGGAAAATCATCAGATCCTGCTCCCCTAGGTGGTCTACACATAGCAGCGCCAACATCGCTGCTAAGATTCAGACGTCGGAAAAAAAACTGGAGCCTCACTGAAGTCAACACTGTATCTTCTAGCTGGGACATGAAAGTTTCTCTGGTATAAACTGTCATGGCCTCGGTTCCCTGCAGGAACACAGGTCACGCTCATCTTTCCACTCTTGGGGGCACACGGTTAGGGTGCCGGCGTCCTGGGCTGTGCAATCAGCGGCTGAGCAAGGCTTCCGTGTGCGTTTTCTAGTTAATTAGCTGAGCCACCATCTGAGGCCAGCACGTCCCCTAAGATGGTCTCCTTAAAAGGACCAGCCGGCTTTAAAAGAAAAAAAGAAAGGAGGGGGAAAAAAGGGAGCTAGCGAGACTGAGAAGTCATCAGCATCCTTTCTTCCCACACTTGAAGTGTCACAACAATGATTCACCTCAAGACAGGGCGGCAGCTTCCCTAATTAGCCTGGAGACGCTCCGGACCCGGTTATAGAAAAAAAAAAAAAAAAAAACCCAAACTTTTACTTTTCTTCAAATACGCACTTGCCACTCACGGCGCCCACTAGCTCCGGCCCTGGCGCCGCCGGCCGCCGGTTCGCGAGGTGGACCTGGGACGTGAAGACCCCAGGTGACAGGGAAAGCTGGGTGGAGCTGGGGTCCAGCCAGGGCGCGCAGGTGCGCCGTAGCCCGGACGCAGTCTGGGTGCACCGATGGTGGGCCCAGCTCCCTCAAGGTGGGGGGTGGCGAGGCCCGGAACCCCCACAGCGCCGCCGCGCGGGCGGGCTGAGGCGGGACCGCGCAGGGAGGGGTCCGCATCAGGCGTGCGGGGGCAGCACCCCAGCCGCCCTCCCGCGGTCAGCTGCAGTCTTGCCCTACAAGAGCTCAGACCTGACTCCGCCCGGAGGGCCAGGGCCACGGCAGAGCGGAGCGCCGCGGGGGAGGTGCGCGCGGCGTCGGCTGGCGAGCGGAGCAGAGCAGAGCGGC